AAACCCTAAACCCTAAACTTGAACTTTGTAGCATCAATACCCCCAGGACCATAGACCCGAGAACATGGCGACGAATTGAGGGTCTTGGTTGGGCATGTTCTTTGTGATTGGTAAGGGATGATTTAGGGTTTAGGGTTTAGAGGGTGGATTTTGGGGCCTCTCAGAATTGAGGGTTTCAGGGTTTGGGTTTATTTCGTCCTATTCGGCCATGAGGTTTCAGATGTTTAGGTTCGTGGTGCAGAGTTTGTAGGTTTGGGAATAGGATTGCAATGCTTCCCCGTGCAGCTGTGGCTCTTAACAAGAGACTTTCGAGCTTGCCGTAGTGTCCTTGCCATGGCGCAGCAAGTGACAACCTACACAGCAGCCCGGCCGAGTACGGGCATTTGAACACTTAGTAGCAGCAATCGCACTACTCAAACGATTAAGGCCCATCAAAGAGCTCAACTCATGTGACCATAAAAGGGATAAGATGAGCATGATGCCTGACACTGTACGATACCTTTTGTTAGCTTCAGATGATTATGGTTATGCTTTCCTGCCTTTAGCACTTTAAGTTAAGTCCGTCACCATGAGCAGTAGACCCCAAGTGTGGGCATTCAGGGTTGAGGCTCGTCGTGGGCTGTGAATACGGGTAGTTCTCAAAATGAGGGTCCCTTTTACTTAGATAGCCAATGGGAGAACTTTAAACTTTTTGGCTTTATATTGTTAGGTCTCTCCTAAAAAGTTTGAACTTTTTTGGGCCTGGTTGTTGAAGAAGAGAGTTTAGGGTCCCTGCTTATAAGGGTGCCATACTATATTGGGTACCTAAAAGGGGATCCTAATTTAGAGAACTACCAATATGCGCTTCTTGTACCTATATGTTTGCACCGGTAGACTTTGGGAAGCCGGCTAGAGCTACTTCGTCTGTCTAGTGCTTAGTAGGGAATGGGGGAATGGATCCCTATGATAGTCCCTTAAGGCCCCTCATAGTAGTCCCTATAATCCCTAAACCCCTAAACCCCTAAACCCCTAAACCCTAAACCCTAAACCCCTAAACCCCTAAACCCCTAAAGCCCTAAACCCTAAACCCCTAACCCCTAAACCCAAAAAAAGCTGTGCGCCCATCCCCTTCCGTAGCTCTCTTACAGTCCCCTTTCGGTCTCTGGCGCAAGATCGTCAACTCCCACTCCCAAGTGCAGCGTGGGGGTTCTTCAATAGTTAATTATGGCATCAGGATCCAGGATTGGCAGAGCGGAAGCAAGGGGGTTCTTGGAGGTTCAGGGGTAGTTATAAACGGGGTCATAAGTAGGGCAACGGTACTTACGACCTAAACCCTAAACCTTTGGGTTCTCCTTAAGCCTCCTCAGAGCCAAGCTTCCCCCTGGTAGCCCTGATCCGAACTTTTGTGGTGTCATGCAAGAACCCAAACGCAGCTGAAGTGTATGGCTATGGGTAGCTCTCTAAATTAGGGTCCCTTTTTAGGGATCTCTCAAAGAGACCTGTAAGGCTTGCTATAACGGTTTCTGTAAGGGTACGAGATGGGTAGCTCTCTAAACTAGGGTCCTTGTTTTAGGTCCCCCAAATAATAAAAGGAACCTTCACTTGGAGAACTGCCCATCATATGGGAGGTTGCCTACATGCACGGTTGCAGAATGGAAAGTAGGATGACCAGAACGATCTTGAAAGACCCTGAACCCCTCAACCCCTAAACCCTAAGCCCCTGAACCCTGACCCCCGTGATCCGGTGAAGCCATCGAAAGTTCCGAGCTGCATTACATCCTACGAGGCATTCTCCGCAAGCAAACAGCCGGGGAGAGCCTTTGATCCCACAAAAAGAGGCAATAGGCAGTAATGACAGCATGCAAAAATATGCGGAATATTGAATACGAAGAAGCATACGAAGAAAATACGATACGACTAAACTAAGAAGACTATAACAATAGTAATAAGAAGAGTACAAATAGGAAGAATATGAATAATCACAAGAAGAATACGAATGAGAATATGAAGAAGAATCAGAGAAATAATCAGAACAACCAAACAGTCAGGTGAGCTCTGCGGCGGCTCAGCCGGTGACGACAGGCCTGGGTCCTACAAGCTCTAGACCTTTCAGGTGGTCGTCTACCCAAGACCCTGAACCCTGAAGCCTAAACCACAAAGCCCTAAACCCTTAAGCCCTAAACCCTAAACCTTAAACCCTGAAGCCCTAAAGCCCTAAGCCCTAAACCCTAAACCCGAAAGCCTGCTGACCAACGTAGAAACTCCTTCGCAGGCTCCTCCCAAGCCGCCGCCCCGGCCATCACCTACTCCCAGGACAGGGAGTTTCGGTGCCTTTGGTTCAGGGCTTGCTGGGCCTAGGGCTTTCGGTTTAGCGTTCAGGGTTTAGGGCTTTGGGTTTAGGGTTATGGGTGTTGAGTGTTGGGTGTGGGGGGATGTGGGATGTGTTTGAATTCGGAAGTGTTCATGCGCAATGTAGGCAGGGGACAGAGATGCGCTCGGGCTCCAACCTCGTTATTATGCCGTCTTCTTGCATCGTGCATGGTGAAGAGGTCATGTGCTGCTTGATCGTAACATGTTCCTGCAGCTGTTTCAGCCGCTCCTGGTCCTCCACCTACTTCCCTCGCCTTATTATCTTTGCGATGGCTCGCTCCTCGAGTGTCCTTGCCGGCGGCCTTCTTGGCGCCGCCTCTTTGGGAGGCCTTGCCTTCTTGGCACCCGGGCAGAGCCGTCCTCAGCCGGTGCAGCAGGAGGTCGCCCACGCGCAGGGATTCCTGGCATCCACTGGCACCAGCACCAGCAGCACGGGTGCTGTGCAGGGCATGGCTGGTGCCTTGGCCGTGGCTGGCTTGAGTGTTGCCGCTGTGCGAGGCGCATCGGCTGCCTCCCGCCAGCAGGGCGTGAAGCCTCGGGCAGCCAAGAGCGTCGTCGCATGCAGGTCCTTGGCCAAGCTGAAGATTGATGGAGTGGACCTTAAGGACAAGCGTGTCTTCATCCGCGTCGACTTCAACGT